TTCCAGGCAAATTCCTGAAAGCAGCAAGAGAGAAGACTATATTAAAGATGATATAACATTATCGATCTAGAGGTGACTTAATCAAGTCACAAATCTTAAGGTCTGATGGATTAAGGTCTATGGAATTTTGTTTCATATTTTATGACAAACTTTAGTTCTTGCCTAGGATCTTTATTTTTTAGTTCAGCACAAGCACTATACTAGCTAGGATTTAATTCACAAGAGTATTATTTTATTAAGTTGCCAAGTTTGGAATAGTTTTGATCCACACTCAAACTGTTTTCATATCATCAGCATGGGCCTGTTTCCTAAGAGTCTCATTTTCCAATCCATTTTTGCCCCACATACAACTGTACTTCACATTCAACCCTAATAATTTCATAACAAAGTATCCAGATTATGTCTAGTTGACTAATCAATGGTAGAGTCTAAAATCTCAAATGCTATTTTGAAGAAGTGTAGAGTAAATAATTTTAGTAATCTGTAACACAGCTGCATGCAGTGTGTACTGTATTATAACAGCACCAAACCCTTTATAAAAACCAAGTACTCCTTCCTCCTGCTTTATAGTATTGATACAGTCTCTCATCCCCTCATATTGCGTATTAATTGGAAGCACTTCATAGCCAAGGTCTGTATTGTCAATTATGGTGCGTGTTCCTTGAATGTGAAGGCGGTGCAAAACGGTTTCCAGTGGGTAAAGTATAACGTCAGAGCAAAGACTGGCAGCAAAGTTAGCAATCAGTTCTGGAAAATAGGCATCCAACATACTTTGCACAGAGCTAGTGCTCTCAGCTAGGTGGCTGTTATAAGTCTTTCTCTTTAAAATTAGTAGGACAAACTTCTGAATGATTGAACTGATGATGTAATGAAGAACTCCATGCAGCACCGTAGGGAAGATCAAGGAAAGAAGCGGAAGTAGTCGTTTACTATGAGGCACTCCCATACCTATCACTCTTCCAATTCCTTCTTTAACACATTCCAAAATTCCAGCATTATCCCGAATTATCTCACTCTGAAATCAAAATGATAAAATGAGTACAATTTAACACTTACCTATTTTAAAACACACACAAAGTACTTCATAGGACACCTTTAAATCTAAGTTTCCTGATGAAAATGAGAAAACATCGATGGTTTCCAGTCTCGAAATGTTATTTAGGTGTTAGAATCTGCTTCCAAATGATATCTCATAAAGCTAATAGCAGCGAAGTTGGGAGCTGTTCCTAACTGGGTAGAAAGAGAGACAGAAGGAGATGTGGAAAAGACAGAACTAGATTCCTTTCCCTACCCTCCAGAAGTTTCTTAGAACCAAATTGAAAATGAAATATTACGATGTCTTAGGAGGCCAGATAGTGCTGAACATGGATTTGAATCTGGTCTCTATTATAAACTGATCATGAGCATTTTCCTTAAGCTTTTCCTGTCAGCTTACCTTCTATACAAATGGGATTAGTACTACTTACCTTTTTGTGTTGGAGAATGCTAGAAAGATGTTTGTGTTTTATTGACTATGCAAAGGCATTCAACTGAGTGGTTCACAACAAACTATGGATAACAATGTAGAATGGGAATTCCAGGACACTTAATCATGCTCAAGTGGATCCTGTAGATAGCCCAAAAGTCTACTGCATGGTTTAAAATCAGTAAAGTGTGTGACAGTGTTGTAGCTTTTCATCATAGTAATTCAATCTGTGAACTGAACAAATAATCTGAGAAGCTGGAATACATGAAGAATAAGGCATCGGTATTGAAGGAAAGCTCTCTACCAACCTGAGATATGTACATGACACAATCCTGACTGCTAGAAGTGAAGGAGACCTGAAGCATTTACTGGTGAAGGTCAAAGAGGAAAGCCTTCAGTATGGACTACAACTCAATGAAAAGTAAACAAAACTCCTCACTACTGGACCAACAGACAATACCACGACAGAGAACACAGACAGAACTTGTCAATGACATCATCGTACTGGGATCCATAACCAGTGCTCATAGAAGCAACAGTCCAGAAATCAAATGATGTACTGCACTGACAAATCTGTTGCACAAAAGCCCTCTTTAAAGTGTTAAGAGCCAAGGTGTCACTTTTAGAATGAAGGTGTGCTTGACTCAAGACACAGAATTTGCAATTCTGTCATACGTGGTTAAAGCTCAAGGAGAAAGAAAATGTTTTGAAAAAGATAACATATGTACAGATGTGTTTGACACGATGGATGTGTGGATTGTGATACAAGCTGTTTAAGAGTCCCCAATGAAAAAAAAAAAAGTTGGAAAATGAAAAAAGACCAGAAAAGTTAGTTACTGGATGTATTTGAATTA